AGGACGTGCTCCACTGTGTTTTTAAACTCCATACACCTTTACTAAAATCATTTGTATGATTTCAGACCTGGAATCAGAGTCATGCATTGGGTCAGGTCCCCGACGGGTACTGGAATTTTAAGTGTGGGTATGCGATTACACATGGGCAGGTCAGGACTAAATCAGGACTAAACCAGGACTAATCTTGGTCTTAAGAGATGTGGTGTGTAGCTCTGCAATGGTCTGAAACTGTTTAATTTCTTTTCGTGATTGTAATTCTTGAAGTTGTAACTTTTCAATTCATATTCTGATGGATGCTTCAGTTAGAATGCTTCTAATCTGTGTGTGATTTATCACAGACACGGTTGGGTAACAGGTCCGGGCGGGTGCAGGTTTAACTTTGATCAAATCACGAATTAACGGGCGGGTGCGGTGCTGAACTGCGTGGGTGCAGGCAGGTGCAGGTTTCCAAAAATGGACCCGTGCAGGACTCTGCCTGCAATTGCCAATCTCTTCTGAACTGACGGTAAAAAGAGCTGACATCACAAGGTGGAACAGAACATTTGAACTCTGGAGATGTAGACAGATTAATAATAAAGAGTTACTCAAGCATGCTTTGGATCACAAAAAGGCCAGTTTTCTAAAGACTGCAGGTGGCCTAAAGTGAGGCTTTATGGTATTTTTGAGGACGCCACGATGAAGGAGTGAGACTGAGATGCTTGTTACTGCACTCACAAAACTCTACGAAGAACTTTAATGTACAGTTTTATCTGCAGACTGAAGAAATCACACAATGAAATAATAATGTCACTCACAAATATGAGATTCAGTGCAATAAAATATAAGTCCAACATGTGGAGACACTGGTGTGTCTGTCTTTTTAAAAACATAAATGTTTATTGTTTCATTATGTCACTGTCACATTTTTTATTTATTTTTTAATGGACCATTAATTGAACTGAATTGAAATCATTTGTGAATGAAACAAACACATCTCCATGTCTGTTTTTGAGGAGGTAACGACATTATAACATGACTTAAAGCTCACAAGAGTCCATTTAGCATATTAAAGAACCTTTAAAAACTACTGCAACATGAAATCCACCAAAAATAGAGGATCTGGCCTTGATATTTGCAGATATGTTTGGCTGTTGTTGTCATCCTCCCACACTGATTCACAGGACAGGCCAAGAGAAGACAGGCAGGAGCTGGTCTACATCCACCGTCACGAAGAGATGTAGAAGAGCTTCAAACACTTGAGAAGCTGGAATGTAACATCGCTCAGAACACTGAAAACCTGATCGTACTGAAGTAATTTGTTGAAAGAAGACCATATTGTGCTTGAGTCTGCTCTATAGTTATAATCACCTGTGGATCACTGCACATCAAGATCACGAATAGCAGATGATTTTTTTTTCATTTGGGCCAAAATGACTTCATGGCTTTGGCGAATTCTAAATGTATCACAGATTTAGAGAATAAAACAGGAGAACGAAGTATGTCACAGTGAGCATGTCTCAGTTGTGGTGTAAACAGGAGCTGATCAGCAAAATGTCATAAAATTTTACTCAAACATGCACAAATCACTCCAAATACAACTCCGAGAGGGTTAGGTAAGGTTAGGTTGCTTTATTCGTACCCGTAGGTAAATTTGCTTTGCAGATTTGAGAGGCAAGTCTCACATTTCACATTTCATTCATCAACAAAACACATATAAATACACAGTTACAAAATAAAGTGTGAATGGAAGGAAACAACATAGCATGGTTAGACATTTTAGAACTCACCACTACTTCTTGTTAATTTTGTACTTGTTTTCTCAACTTTTTTTGCACAAACTGTCCCTTAACTCATTGCTTCCCAAAGACTGGGTTCGCAAGAGATGTTTTTTTGGGTTGCCTTGTTCATAGGGTGTCCAAATGTCCGTTTTTCCCCGGACATGTCTGTTTTTTGCATCCTATCCTAGGCATCTGTTTTTTTGTTTTTTTTTAAGTGATGGAAATGTTTTCATTACCTTTCATTGGGGGCATTAAACTGAGCAGCTCTTGTAGTTCTCTGTGACTCAGAAGGAGCAAGACACAAACAGTCAGTCAGTCTGCAGCATGCTGAAGCGCAAATGTGCATTTAACAATGACTTGTACAAGAAATTCTGTGGTTTCCGTCGCGGTCGGGACAAGTGGGAGACCATGTGCACAGGTTGCAAGGTGAGAGTCGCTCAACGTCGAGGTCCAACCCCTGGTAAGGTGTTCGTTTTTTCACAAATGGAAATATGGTCACCCTACCTTGTCACAATCTGTCAGCAGTATACATATACATACATCTCCACACACCCTCGCTCCTCACTTCTTCCGAGTAACATATTTTTCGGACTATAAAGGTGCACTTAAAATCCCTTAATTTTCAGAAAATCGACAGTACACTTATGCCTTATGTATTAATTCTGGTTGTGCTTAATGACCTTGAACTGATTTTCACATATAATTCACTGAGTCATGTCCTTTAGTCCGACAGAAGCTGAACCACATCAGCGCACAAGGAGCGAGCTGTTTTTTCAGCGCTTATAGTTTATGCAAATTAGCCATGTGGCTTTAAGTCTCCTTTCTGTTAAATGTAAACAAATGTGACAAAACCGCATTATTATTCGATCTATTTTTGAGTGGTACTCGTAGAAAATTTTAAAAAAAAGTCTCAAGTGTCGTTTGTTTGTTTTGCTTAATGCTCCTTATGTATGAAAATAGACAAGAGAATTCAACATTATTGATATTGCGCCTTATAATCCAAAAAATACTGTAATAGTAATAGTTCAGAGACACGATCACTCAGTTAGCAATAAAATATCCTCATGAATGTTCAATAATGCTCAAATCCACCTTTATTTTGTGATTTTACTATTGCAGTGGCGAACCGTGGACCTGGACCCTGGGCCTTCACTAGGACCAATTGGCTATCATAACATCATTTATAAAAAAAACAAAACAAAACAAAAAAACAAAACAAAATGAAGCTTACTTCATATATTTCTTTAATAATCATTTGCTACTGTTCGACAAATATAGACGGGCTCTGAGCCTCGCTCCAAGCTCCACCCGGCTGCGGGCTCCGAGCTCCAGTTCCCGGGTCGTTCTTTCTTCTCTTTCTTTCTGACATCATGGTTCAGTTCTGGTTTAGTCCTCCTGGTTCTGTCCTGAAATCTGTCCTGGTTTAGTCCTGGTTTAGTCCTAGTTCAGTCCGTGGTGTGTGCAGCGCAAAAATCCAGCATCTCAATCAGTGTTTCTTCTGCTCAGTAAATGAAGATTGTGGAGTGATTACAGTCGAGTCACGTCTGTGAATTCGTATTTGTACTGAAGAAAGTGTAATCATTTCATTTCGTTTCATGATTGTAATTCTTGAAGTCGTAACTTTCCAATTCATATTCTGATGGCTGCTTCAGTTAGAATGTTTTTAATTAGTGTGTGATTTATCACAGGCACGTAACGGGTAGAATGTTTACGGGTCCGGGCGGATGCGGGACTCTGCCCTGGTTTGCAATTTTGCATTTCTTGAGTCCAAGGCCCAGCTGTGGAAACCATTTCAGGAGACTTGAAAATCCTTGATTGATTGCATTTATACAGCACCTTTCAAGATCCCCAAAGCACTTTTACAGTTCATTATTCAGTCACTCCACACGCAGTGGTGGTAAACTAATACTGTAGCCACAGCTGCCCTGGGGCAGACTGACGGAAGTGAGGCTGCTAATCTGCGCCATCAGGCCCCTCCGACCACCACCATCACTCACACACCAATTTCATACTAGGCAATGTGGATGAAGTGTCTTGCCTAAGGACACAACGACAGTTTTTTGCCACTGGCGCCCCCCTGTGGCACCTGGAATTCCTAGCAGTCTCCCATCCAAGTACTACCCAGGCCCAGCCTGCTGAGCTTCTGAGATCTGACAGGATTAGACTTTTACAAGCCGGTATGTCCTGTGAGAGGAGGCCCAGAGTTTACAGAGCTGTTGACAAAGCAAAGGGTGAACACTGGGGATTTTAATATGAAATATATATAAAAAAAACTTTAGTCTTTTTTTTTTTCTTTGCAACATAATTCCATCCATCTGACATCATGTATTTGTTTTCTTCTGAGTCAAAAATGTAGAAAGTAATAAACACAAAGAAACCCTGAATGAGCAGGTGACTCATGACTTTTAGTGCAGGTGTGAGATTTTATGACTAAACTGAGAGAAGAAATCACTCTGATGTTTCTACTCCTCTACTCCTCCTCCCCTCTTCTCTCATCCTCTTCTTTATCTCCTCCTTTCCTCTCTCCTTTCTCCCCTCTTGTCTCTCTCTACTCTCCCCTCCCCTCCTACTGTCTGCCTCTCTCAACCCTAACCCTCCTCTTTCCCCTCCTCTCTCTCTTCTCTCCTCCCCCATCCTCTCTCTCCTCCTGCTCTCCACCTCTCCTCTCTCTCCTTTCCTCTTCTCTCCACCTCCTCCCCCCTCTCCCTTTTCCTCTCTACTCTCTCGTCCCCTCCCTCTCTCTCCTCCTCCTCTCCTCTCTCTCCTCTCCCCCTCGATGGCCCATACCTGATAATAACGCCTTTCCTCCTCTCTCCTCTTCTTTCTCTTCTCCCCCTCCTCTCTCCTCCTTCTCTCTCTCTCCTCTACCACTCCTCTCCTTTATCTCCTCCTGCCTCCTCTCCACCTCTCCTCTCTCTCATCCCCTCCTCTCTCGTCCTCTCCTTTCTCTCCTCCTCTCCTTTATCTCCTCCTCTCTTCTCTCCTTTCTCTCCTCCTGTCCACCTCTCCTCTCTCTTCCTCTCCTTTCCTTTCCTCTTCTCCTCACCTCTCCTCTCTCTCCTCCACTTCTCCTTTATTTCCTCCACTCTTCCCACCTCCTCCTCCTCTCTTCTCTCATCCTCTTCTCTTTATCTCCTCCTCGTCTCCCCCTCCCCTCCTTCTGTCCTCCTCTCTCCCCTCCTCCTCTTCTCCTCCTCTTTCTCCTCCTCTCCTCCCGTCCTCGTTTCCCTCGTGTCTCCTCAGGGAAGTGTGTGGAGTGACTGTGTTCTGGGCTGCTGTTGTTACCCTCTCTCCTGGCTCCAGATCTCCAGAGAGCTGAAGAGGAGAACGGCCGCCCACTCTTCCACCTCTTCCTCCACCTCTTCCTCCTCGTCTTCGCCAACCACGGTCAGGTACACCGCCCTTCGCAGCCTGCAGGGGGCGCACTTGGTCTAAGACTGCGGGCCGAAAGAGCGAAGAGGCCAAAGGGATCACGTATATCACAAAAATCTCGATATTGCGATGCTGTTTGATGCAACAATCAATCAATACCATAAACTTCTCCAGAAATGAACTAAAAAATGAAGATAAGATTGTATTTCTGTTGAAGGGTTATGGTACAAACACTCTAGAAGGATATAAAGCATTATGTTTTAAAGATAAAGAGCTCTGGAATTAATGAATTATGCAGTCAATTTTGTTTGCTTTATTTTATATTTTGTCTCTTATATTTACAGTAAGTCATAATTGAAATTGTAAATGCAAACTTGCTTTTTTTTCTTGGAATTCTGTCGTTCTTTAAAAGGGTTTGGCATTAGAAGTACTTTTTACTTCAGCCTAACCCCTGTCAGTCATGATCCATGGGTTTGTAGTCTATGTTTGTTTTGTTTTGTTTTGTTTTGTAATGGTGCAAAATGACTAAATAAACTACTACTACTACAAAAAAAGCACGGCTTAAACCAGTAGTCTCCAACCTGAAGCTTGTTTATGTTTTATAAGCGTCAAAGTCTACGTTCAGACAGCAGGGCTTAACGCTCATTTCCGATTGTTTTGTGAAATCCGATGTCTTTGCGAAGTTGTTCACATTTCCAATTAAATGTGACTTGTATGTGATCCCCTGTGTGAATGTTAAATGGCCCGAGCACCTGGAGATTTTAAAGTTCCTCTTGTACCGGAGCCAGAACATGAACAACTTACTTGTTTTAAGGAGATTGAGAAGGAGAAGGACGAGGTTTTTGGCCGTGGTGTTTTGTGGGACAGTCTGTTGAAAGGAACGTGTGGATGTGGAGATGTAGTCAAGAGTGGTGAGTGGTGATGTGCTTCGCTTCAGTGACATGGAGTTCATTAACAATTTTCGCCAACTTCAGCGCAGAATAGTGACGTTTGTTGCTTGTTGATAACGTGTAGGTGGATGAATGCACTTTGCCAGTTCACACTGAAGTCGCATGTCAAAAGATCAGATATGTATCAGTTTCAGGAGCACATATCCAAGTGTCCTGGGTCACATTTGAAAAAATCAGATCTGTGTGGTTCAGACTGACATTAAAAGATTAGATACAAGTCACATAGAGGCCAAAAAATCAGATTTGGGTCACTTCAGGCTGCAGTCTGAACGTAGTCTAACTGCTCCCCGTTTAAGGCTCGCCAGGGCTCTTAGACTACGTTCACACTGCAGCCTGAAGTGACCCAAATCCGATTTTTTGGCCCCTATGTGACCTGTATCTGATCTTTTAATGACAGTCTGAATGACACAGATCTGATTTTTTCAAATGTGACCCAGGACACTTGGATATGTGCTCCTGAAACTGAAACATATCCGATCTTTTGACATGCGACTTCAGTCTGAACGGCCAAAGCGCATTCATCCACCTACACGTTATCAAGAGACAAGTGACAAATGTACACAAACGTTCTCGTCATACGAAAATTGTTAATGAACTCTGTGTCACTGAAGAGAAGCACATCTCCACTCACCACTCTTGGCTACATCTGCGCATCCACACGTTCCTTTCAACAGACTGTCCCACAAAACACCACGGCCAAAAACCTCGTCCTTCTCCTTCTCAATCTCCTTAAAACAAGTAAGTTGTTCATGTTCTGGCTCCGGTACGAGAGGAACTTTAAAATCTCCAGGTGTTCAAAGCTCGCCTCCATGTTTGGACAACTTCTGTAAACACAGAGCACGCTCGCTGCGGTTGACGTTGTCGTGTCTCCAGTGCACATGCGGGACACTTTTGGGCCATTTAATGTTCACACTGGAGTCACATACAAGTCACATTTAATTGGAAATGTGAACGACCTCGCAAAAACATCGTATTTCACAAAAAAAATCCAAATTGAGCGTTAAGCCCTGCAGTCTGAACGTAGACTTATACTGTACATATCTGATTTCTTTGCAACTGCTAAAATGGGTAGCTTTTGGGCATTTTTGTTTTGTAAAAGTAGCTCACTGGAGGAAAACGTTGGAGACTCCTGCTTTAAACCATCTCTGTGGGGAGAATCCTGTGACCTAATCAGGCAAAGTTAAAGGTCAGATCTGTGGAGAGACGACCCTGCTCACAGTAAGGTTACGTTTACACTGAAACTAATCACTGTATCACCATATCGGAAACTATTTGACATCCAGACACGTAATTTGTGTCTGCGAGCCTTCTCTATCCACACAGCTTTGAGCACATTTGTTTACGATTTGCAGAAACAAAACTTAAAACCATATGACTCATTTGCAAAAACTGAGCGCTCAAAAAAACTGGTCGCTATTGTGCACTGATGCGGTTCAGCTTCTGTCGGACTAAAGGACATGACTCAGTGGAATATGAGTGTTCTTTCTGTGACAGAGGGGTGTTCTGCTGATGGTGAGTCTGTTCTGTGTTTCTGTCGCGTTGGAGATGGTTCATGTGAAACTTTTCAGAGATTATACATCTGCAGGTCGTACGCACAGACACACGTTTATATGAATGGACATATATTCTAGTCTCTTAGTATTTTGGTGCTGAATTACTTCATGGCGCACAGACCTACATCAGAAATCCGCGTATCATTCATTCTTTCGTTTTTCAATACAAAACCAAAAATAAGAAAACGAAAAAACAACTATTTTCTTCATTATTTGTCTCCAAAACCAAAATGAAAAAACGGATAACGATTAGTTTTTTTCAGTTTTCCATTTTGTGTTTAAATGAAAAATGGAAAAAACGGATAACGGCTGTTTCACGTTTACGTGACTTCCGTGACTGTGATGCCGAACTTTTGCACCGCATACAGACTGAACCAGGACTGATCCAGGTCCAGGATCAGACCAGGACCAGAGCGGGACTGAGACCGAGACCAGAGCGGGACCAGACTGGGACCAGAGCGGGACTGAGACCGAGACCAGAGCGGGACCAGACTGGGACCAGAGCGGGACTGAGACCGAGACCAGAGCGGGACCAGACCAGGACCAGAGCGGGACTGAGACCGAGACCAGAGCGGACCAGACCAGACCAGAGCGGGACTGAGACCGAGACCAGAGCGGGACCAGACCAGGACCAGAGCGGGACTGAGACCGAGACCAGAGCGGGACCAGACCAGAACCAGAGAGGGACTGAGACCGAGACCAGTGCGGGACCAGACCAGGACCAGAGTGGGACTGAGACCGAGACCAGAGCGGGACCAGGGGTTTGAGCCTCAGCTTCGAGCTCTGGCCCTACCATGGGCTCTGAGCCTCTGGTCTGGTTCCGGTCTGGTTCCGGTCTGGTCCCAGCCTGGTCCTGGTCTGGTCCCGGTCTCAGTCTCGGTCTCAGTCCTGGTCTGGTCCAGGCCTGGTCCTGATCCAGTCTCAGTCTCAGTCCTGGTCTGGTCCCGGTCTGGTCTCAATCTCGGTCTGTTCCCGGTCTCAGTTCTGATCTCAGTCTCAGTCCCGCTCTGGTCCTGGTCTCAGTCCCGCTCTGGTTCTGGTCTGGTCCTGGACCTGGATCAGTCCTGGTTCAAGTCTGTATGCAGTGCAGAAGTCTGACATCGCAGTCACATAAATGGTCGTTATCCATTTTTTCCATTTTTTATTTAAACACAAAATCGAAAACTGAAAAAACTAATCATTATCTTTTTTCGTTTTGGTTTTGGAGACAAATAATGAATAACAAACAATCATTTTCTTATTTTTGGTTTTATATTGAAAAACGAATGAACGAATGATACATGGATTATCAGAGTATCAGTGTTTTCAGGCGTCCACACGGTGCCGGATCAGATCTGTACTCAGATGAATTCGTGGGAGCTGGAGGCACCAGATCGTTCCGTCTCTGGAGCCGTTTTCCATCGGATTAATGTGAACGAACACTGCACCCACAACTAAAACAACTCCAATATGTACAAGTGTTGTCGGGGCCTAAGACTTCTGCAATAAAATGCCTGTACTGAAGAATAACATCTCCATGGAAACAAGCAGAGGGCCAGAAACTTACCTCTGTGCATCTTTAAATGTAAAATGTACCAAAAATATCCTTTCCACTCAAAATTCAAGCAAATCTTTCTATTTCTCTGTATTTTATGATATTCCTCAGTGCTGTTGTAAAGTCTTGTGTGATTGTAATAAACCTAAATAACCACTAGGCGGCAGCAACACCAAAGCCTTATCATAGACTGTTTAGAGAGACCGTATAAAGGCTTCAGTTGTTTTTTGTATTGTAAAGTATAATGTGTACTTTTGTTGTAGACTTTTTATGGTTTGTGATATTTGTCGTTCTGTAATAAAGAGCAAAAAGAAAATGAAAATGCAGTTTAAGTGCACTGATTTAGTTTTTGTATTGTGAATGTGTCAGAATGTTCATCTCCCTGCGTCTTTTATTTAGTCTCAGTTTTAGTCCAATTTATTGAAAGAACAGTGAGTAACTTTATGGAGGAGGCTTGTCACCTGCATGATTCCATAAAAATACAAAGTTAAAACTACACTTCTCCATGGAGATAAATATGTCTGTAGAAAATTACAGCCAAAGGTTGTATAAATATTTACACGGAAAGCAGCAGGAGGAGGCAACACAACAACCAAACCATAAAGTTACATTAGTGAGTTTAAGATATGGTACAAAATGGGATTAAAAAAAGAAAGAAAGGAGAAGAAAGAAAAAGTATTGGGGTTAAAATTATATTTTGTTTGTATAATACATAATTTATTTTGCTAGATGTAAATATTTGTTAAGTTCCATGATCAATATACAGAAGCAACCACTTCAATTTTGAAACTATGTCATGAATAGGGGTGGGTTCATATCAGTTTTTCTTCTCCCCACTCCTTTTCAAGAAATGTGCTTTTCTGTTGTTTACAATGTTTATCATCATCATCATCATCTTTATTCTGGACTCATGGTCCATTTAAAAAACAGACAAGGACAGTGACAATACAAAACAATAAACATTCATGTTTTTAAAAGACAACCACACCAGCGTCTCCACATGATGGACTGATATCTTATTTGTGAGTGACGTTATTATTTCATTGTCTGATTTGTTCAGTAAATCCTTAGTGCAGTTTGCAAAGTGTTCACTCAAGCAGTA